GATTGCAGACAATACTCACAGTTTTTAGGCATTAACATTTGTTTATCTATTTACTTATCTTGTTGGTTATGAGTGGTTCAAATTTTATGTCTACAAAAACATTACTTTTGCCGATATTTTTGAGGCCAGCTTTTATGGTGAGTTTTCTTGAACTCTTTTTCAAGATTCGGATTTCTTTTCAGTTTTTCTTTTTAGATTTTTTTTACTCCTGTTCCGCTGTATTCTTCTTTTTTGCGCTCGCTATTGCGGCTGTTAGGTCTATCTCCGTATAAGTGGATGAATTCATTTTCTGATGAATGCTTTCTGAAGGGCACTTTTAGCACCCTCCTCATCTTATAGTGTTGCATAATCAATCTATCTCGTCCAGGGCATTTGAATATTTATCGCACCTACATGTCATTGGAGACATAAGACTGTATGCTTTTCCTTTGGGTGGGGCATCCTCCTTACCAAAGGACTAGAGTACGCCCTTAGACGTGATGAATGATGCGTAATTGATGCACGAGCATCATGGATCGAGAGAGGGCAGTTGACTACGCATACCGCACTCCGGTACAGTTATTTCAAAGCGCATCCTACACTTGCTTTTCTTTCTAAGCAGCAGGATAGATTGGGATAGATAGAAGGGATGCAGTGGAATCAATGAGCATAATTTAACATCGTAGTCGGAAACATCGCCTGGGTGGAAATTTTAGGCGATTTGCTCCCCAGCTATCCTCGGGGTGGGTCACTACAACAGAAAGTGAATTCTTGGGTAGCTTTAAGTCCACCACTGGTCGTTAGCACCTGGCATTTCTGCAGAGGAAAAGTTCGCTGCTAAAATCGAAAATTTAATTCTTTCTTAGCGACTTACACCACCATCCTTGTCCGACCATGGGCTGTAGTTTTACTCTGATGATGATTCTGCGATTGCTTTTTGACTAATCTTAAGATCTAGTTCTCTGTGGCGTAATTATCATATTTCAGCTTGTTGTCTTGGATCTTTAATAATGTCTGGTTATAACATGTGGTATTCGTATGCTGTGGATCACACTTTTAAACAGGTGAATCTTTTTCCTTGAGTTTTCGAATTGAAAAGTCGCGCTTGCTTAGTGATCGGAGTTGAGCAATCCTTTCGGAATGTGCCATGTACCTTACTCCATTCCACTGTCGCGAAAGCATTTGTATAGGTGCATCCAACTTATACGATGAGCTGTTGGTGTAGAACTCCCCTTTGCTGGAATGAAGGGAATCCCCTCTGGCTTGGTCGCCTCTGAGCCCTTGTGCTGCCCTCTTAGGCTTGCACATCAGCTTCGAAATATAATACTATTTTTCAGAAATCTGTGTATGAAGCAGTTCGTCCGGTGATTCCTTGTGTCATGCTGTTTGCTGTCTCCATATCGTGGGCTGTGTTCTCTCGCACTGATGTTCTGCGGAACTGATCCACGAACATTTTTCTTTGCTATGGGTACCGTATTCAGCAATATTGCTGTGAGTTTTGAATATTTTCGTTTACTGCAAGTGGGCAAACCCAGTGAGCATTAACTTGTTTGATGCATTGAAATTCCCTTGTTCTGTCGGCCACAACACTTTCCAGGCCACCTTTGGATCAGAACTTTCGGATCAAATTCGAAAGAAAGGTGGTGATTAGTAGCAGTCAAAAAGTGGTCGATGTTGAGACACTTGTGGTTCAGCACCCTTTAAGACATGGAATAATTGCCAGTGTAATAGTTCTGTCATTTTTTTGCTTCCGTAATAAGGAGAGAATTCCGTCCCAACTTGCGGTCCGGCCCCGGCACAGCCTTAGGGCCTCAATTATTTCACATAGCATTCAGACTTCACGTGGTGCCATAGTGCACCCCGAGCAATAATCTGATCTGGGTTCATCGAAACATGGCAAAGATATAATTGAATCCTTGACAACCATAGGAGATTCTTTGTTTAGTGCCGTCTAATAATCGCTCAAATGTCTAGTCATCGATGTGAGATCATGAATGCACTACTTACAGGCTACGCTTTCGTCGCAGGTTTGTCATTTTGTGGTCCGTAGTGTTTTCTTTCAATATTCCATGTTCTCTAACTATTTTTATTGTTGTGTGGTGTAGCTGAAGTAATCGTGAGGTCATTTACGTGTCTTAGTGTTCTACTGGAGTAGTTTTTGAGAGATCGCAAGAGTGCGCTTTAAGGTCAAGAAATCCTTCCCTTTTTGCAAAAAGATGCACATTTGGTATTTTTTCGCAGAATCATTTCAATTCTATATTCGTCGTCCATTCTCTAATAGACTTGCGAAAGCATATTGATAATGGTCACTATGCTACCTCTTTCCTCTCTGCAGAACCTTCCTTCTGCCTACGCTATAATCTTGCAT